GGGATATGAACATACATGGCAGGATTGGGGCCGGCAGGTTGCGCTCCCATTTGTTGCCGCCAGGCGCAGTAGGTGCGTGGTATGGGTCAGGGTGCTTCCAGGTCTCCAACAGCTTCTCTGTCTCGCGCAACAAAACCTAGAGCATGTGTTAGGCTTGCCAGCCATAAGTTGCGGTTTTACATACTTGTTGTTGGCGAGGATCGCGGACGTCCTTGTTGGCGTCGAAAAGGGATCGGATATAGACTGCTTGTCCACGCCAGAGCTGCCGGTGGACGGCCCAGTCAAAAGACAATTTCAGGGAGCGCCGGTAGAGCGACCTAGAGTAGATCAGTGAACAGTCCACTAGGGGGACACCGGCCTACTCACTTAACAGCAGAGGTGGACATTGTGCTCAAGTTTTGTCCCGGGTCCAATTCCGGCCAACTGGAAGAGGAAGAGGGAAACAAGAAAGGTGTACGTTGATACACAGATCTATAAACAGGTATGACAACCTTGGAGATCGTTAGGGCTCCTGATAGACAATGGGTTGGGGTTGAGGGCTTCAATGTCGTCAGGTTGACTATTCTGGGCTTCCTAATTCGCTCGGCGTGGATTTGCTCAAATGGTCACTGCCCGTCCCCGTAGAGAATAATGGTCCGCCTCTGCCGGAAGGGTGCCCGGTTTACTTTGACCCGACCTAATCCGAGCTTCATCTTTCCTGCTTTCTCTAATTTTCAAAGAGTTGAAGTTCTTCCTCTCTCCTACATAACCGCTTCGGTTTTTTTCAAGTATAAAGTTTGCTTTAATTCATATCATGGCTTCTCGAATCTTTATTGCGCGCCTCTCGGGCCAACGCTTCTCGGCTGTGGCCAGAACCGCTCCTCGGGGAGCAAGCCAGTTCCGCAATGTCAAGGGATTGTCTACCCTTACGCGGAAGGCTTCGGCTCGCTCAGCTTCGGGCTTGTTGCAGGTCTCCTCCGGGTAAGTATTCGAATCTCATTACTGTCTGTCGCAATTTTGGCTCATACAACCCTATAGCATCAATGTCTCGAGGCTCAATCTTGCTCCTCTGGGAGGCCATCAGCTTCGCACCTATGGTAAATGCTTTTCTTAAGCAGTCTTGTTGGTCAATTGCTAATAATGCTTAGCCGACTCCATTATCAAGGTCCCCAACATGGCTGAGTCGATTACAGAGGGTACCCTCAAGCAGTTCTCAAAACGTATGGTGCTTTAGCTGTGGTTGAACATTTTGACATTTGCTTATTCTGATATAGAGGTTGGCGATTTCGTCGAGCGCGACGAGGAGATTGCGACAATTGAAACAGACAAGGTAAATACCAACTCCGCTTCCGTCTCTCGCAACTAGTACTGTCGCTAACGTGAGTTTTCTGTTCAGATTGATGTCTCGGTCAATGCCCCGGATTCTGGTGTTATCAAGGAGTTCCTTGTGAACGAGGAAGATACCGTTACTGTCGGCCAGGATCTCGTCAGGATCGAGCTTGGCGCCGCTCCCGAAGGCGGAAAGAAGGACGAGGGCGCCGAGAAGCCCAAGGAGCCCGAACCCAAGGCGCCTGAGCCGAAAGAGCCTGAGCCTAAGAAGGAGGCCCCGCCCGCCCCCACCGAGACCGAGAAGCCCAAGGCGCCTGAACCTAAGAAGGCTGCGCCTCCCAAGGAAGCTCCTAAGCCCCAAGCTGCCGAACAGCCAGCTTCTATTGGTAACCGCGAGGAACGCCGGGTAAGTTGACCGCCAATGGGCCTTTGACTTTGGTTTAAGCTTAAGCTAATTTTGGTCTAGGTCAAAATGAACCGTATGCGTCTGCGTATTGCCGAGCGCCTGAAGCAGTCCCAGAATACCGCCGCTTCACTTACCACTTTCAACGAGGTTGACATGTCCTCGCTGATGGAGTTCCGGAAACTGTACAAGGAAGATACTCTCAAGAAGACCGGTGTGAAGCTTGGCTTCATGAGCGCCTTCTCCCGTGCTTGTGTGCTTGCCATGAAGGATATCCCCGCTGTCAACGCTTCTATTGAGGGTCCTAACGGCGGTGACACCATTGTCTACCGCGATTACGTTGACATCAGCGTTGCAGTCGCCACCGAAAAGGGACTTGTGACTCCTGTTGTCCGTAACAGTGAAGGCAAGGATATGATTGGAATCGAGAAGGCCATTGCCGATCTCGGAAAGAAGGTGAGCAGTTGTTTTTCTAGAGGGGGTGTCCAACTTACTGACTTGTATTAGGCTCGTGACAATAAGTTGACCATTGAAGACATGGCCGGTGGTACCTTCACCATCAGCAACGTATGTTTCGTCTCTTTGTGTGTTTCACAATAACATGGCTAACTCATCCCAGGGTGGTGTCTTCGGCTCGCTGATGGGCACACCAATCATCAACACTCCCCAAACAGGTGAGCTCCCTCGTACTATTTTTGAGGTTCAGGTCTAATTTTGTCTAGCTGTCTTGGGTCTCCACGCCATTAAGGAGAAGCCTGTCGCTGTGAACGGCAATGTCGAGATCCGCCCCGTACGTACAGGAACCCCAATCACATTCTTCGGTTTACTGATATTTTTAGATGATGTATATGGCTCTGACGTACGATCACCGCCTCCTGGATGGTCGTGAGGCCGTTACTTTCCTTGTCAAGGTATGTCTACCTCCTCGTTCGCCCGAATCAATCACTAATCCCATCGCAGGTCAAGGAGTACATTGAGGACCCCCGGCGCATGCTGCTCGGCTAAGTAGCATGAGTGTTTGTCACGCGCCTTTTGTTGTTTGTGTTCTCGTACCTAGAGCGGCCTTGCGCCCTTTGTAAATTATTATTGTTCCAAGTTATAAATGCCATGTCAAGGGTCTTGTAGTGGGCTCTAAGTACTATTCCTGTCTTATGTGTGTATTGGCTTTCGATCTGAATTGGTTAAAATTGATCAAGATTGAACGATCAATATGATCGAGTTAGTGTACATGTGGTGTTGCGCATTAACTCATGATCCTTCACGTGTCTGACTTGGCGTCATTACACATGGAAGCACATAGAAAGGCATTTTCTCGTATCGTTGTGTAGAGGAAGATTAAATTCCACAATACTCTCGAACCTGTCGGGTCTCCTCCCGAGTCAAACCTTCCAGCTGACCTTGCTCCAGCTGAAGAAGAAGGGGCACATCCAGTACATCCATGAGGTCCTCGAAGAACTCGACATAACGATGCTGCAGTGCTTGGAGGGGAAACCCCTCATTAATCTCTGCTTGGCTCATTGGACCCGCCGTACCAAATGGGGGTGGCATGTGCCCAAGGAACCAGTTACGGCTGACCTCCCACCATATATCGAGTTCACTGTCGTTGGTTCTCCAGTTGCAGAGTGCGTCTAGCTGGTCGGGGAAACGCGCATGTTCTTCTAACATCGCATGGACCATGAAGTGAGCACCGAGGTCGAACCAGCGTCCCCGGGATACGTGGGCGACTGCATCGAGGCATAGGTCCAAGAAATGGACTGCGATATCAGACAGAGGAACAAAGGGACCCATGTCGTAGTCTTTGGGGGGGTACCAGTGGAGAAATAGATTGGACATGTAGAAGATGCGCAATTTGAAATCTAGGTCCCAGGGCAGGGGGCTTTCGAGGTGATGGAGGGCAAGCCGCCGGTGGAGCTCTAGAGCCATATTCAGTATGCATGGTCCATTGCTGGCAGTTCTGGTGCTTACGTTCAACAAAAAGCGCAAAGTATTCAATGTCCTCGGATGCTCTTGCTTGTGAAATACCTTCTAGGAGTCCGCTGATACATAGGCAGACCATGTAGTCGAGAATCAGCAGATCCACAGTCGCTGCTGTGCCAGGGCCTCGGTCCGCCATTTTGAAGGTCAATACTGATGGCTGAAGCCAGGGGAGAATATCAGATGAGGGGTATGTGAATAGTCCTATAGAGGTCCATGATGCCCTGTAAGTGTAATTGTTCCCACGGCGATTTTATCAACGCGCGTAGTCGGCGCGATGAGTCGGCGATGTCCACGGACCTGTAAGATGTTTTGATATCACTTTCACGTGACTTGGTACTCTGTAGCCATTCTACGTGTGATTGCACGCATTCCCTTCTGGTATATTAGGATTATAAATTTAGTTTGACTAGATATAACATTATAGACTGTATGAATTAGTGGGATAGTTTTTACTGCAACTGTGACTATTTCAGGTATCACGTGTGAAAATGTAGATATCATGGCGTCATTTATATATAGTCACACACATGTACATACTATGTAATTGGCCAAACATACCTGGACAGTAACTCTTCTCTCTTTCACCATCCAACACCCATTCAGTCCATGATTAGTCCATACAAACCAAAATTCATCCACAAAGCAACACAGGCTATGACCATGGCGTGGTATTGTTCTGGATCTACCAACACCGAGTTGATCGAGAACCTATTCAAGGCCGGACTGATCCAGAATGAGCGTGTAAAAGATGCCATGATAGGCGTGAGCATATTGATATATATCTGATTCATTGTCACCTCTAACATGACCAAGGTTGATCGAGCCCATTATGCTCCATCACGGCCGTATTCGGACTCGCCTCAACCCATTGGATACGGGGCCACCATATCAGCACCGCACATGCATGGCCATGCATGTGAGTATCTGATTGATTATCTCAAACCAGGTGCCCGGGTGTTAGATGTTGGATCTGGCTCAGGATACCTGACCCATGTCATTGCCAATTTGGTGACCAGCTCATCCGGCAACGCCCAGGGACAGGTGATTGGTATTGACCATATCCCCGAGCTGACAGACATGGCTCGTTCCAACATGAACAAGTCCAAGAAAGGTAGTGCGTTCCAGACCAACGGCACCGTGAAGTTTATCACGGGCGACGGACGTCTTGGATGGAAAGAAGGTGCACCCTACGACGCCATCCACGTTGGCGCCGCAGCCGACAAGCTTCATCCAACTCTGGTGGACCAGCTACGTGCTCCCGGGAGACTATTCATCCCGGTGGAATCGGAAGACAGCGAGGGTGCTATTGATCCCAATGGGGGTCAATATATCTGGGTGGTGGATAAAAAGGAAGACGGATCCATTCACAGGGAGAAGGTCTTCCAGGTGAGCTACGTGCCCTTGACAGATGCTCCACGAGGATGAGATTGCAAACCATTTACTTCGATCCAAATAACAGAAATAATATCAGTTCATGTGCTTTCCTAAACCTATCCCTCATGCGGGCTTCAAAAGATCTATAGCTTCCCAAATACATCGAGAAACTCCACGAACACCTGGTATGTTTCACAAAAGACAATCTGATCAGCGGAATCCACCAGGGAATTTGAAACCTCCCTGGAACTGTGGACCACCCTGTTGGAAGAAGAACTGTTGACCACCGAATTGGTTGCCTTGGAACGGACTGCCCCGCTGTTGCGATTCAGAATCATTGGGGTCGTCGCCATTGTCGAACCGTGTCCGGAGTTCGGGGTCGGATAAAACCTCGTAGGCTTCATTAATAGCCGCCATCTTTTTCTCTGCCTCTTCCTTGCTTACACCCTGGGAGTGGGCCTTATCAGGGTGATGTTGCTTCACTAGCTGGCGATACGCGCGCTTGATCGTCCGATCATCCGCATCACGGCTAATACCAAGGACCTTGTAGTAATCTTTCTGCTTGGAACGCTTGAGTAGGGTCTGAGCCTTCTGTTGGAGAGATTGCGCCTCTTGGGAACCGGGGTGGTGTTCCTTGGCCGATTCGAGCGTACGTATGGCGTCCTCGAATCGATCCTCGTCCAAAGCAATCTGGGCTTTATAGAGGAGCCCGGCAAGTGAGTGAGGAACAAGCTGGAGAGCTTCGGTGCAGTAAGGACCGGCCTTTTTGATCATACGCATCTGGCTATGTTAGTGACAGAAACCAAGCCATGTGTAGTGGGCACTCACTTCACGGTAAGCCTCGCAGGTCTTCTCGACTAGGAATGTGTAAAGATTATTGGGTGCCAGGCGATGAATATGGTTAACTTGTCTTGCTTCTTCAATATCGGCCTTGACTTCTGCGATCAGTCCACTGGTATCACTATCGCCGACCATGAGATTTGCTGCATTGCTGAACTTGCGTGAGTCTAGGGCAGTATGCAATTTTTCTAGCTGTTTGGCAAGCTTTCGTTCACGTCGATAGAGCCGGTTGCACGATTTTGAGTCGGGATCGGTATAGAGACATTTACGGATTTGAGCAAGGCCACGGTCACTGTCTCCTAGAGAGTAGAACAGCATGGACGACATTTGTAGGTGAGTTTCGACCAAGTTCGGGGACATTTGCAGAACATGTGCCAAATCGCTGAGCCCTTCCTCCGTCTCGCCTTTTTCAAAATGACAATGGGCTCGAGCCTGCCGCAGAGGCAGTGCTGTATTTGCCTTTAGGATGGCCACATTTGCCTCCGAGACACACGTGTCCCAGGCGCCTTGCTTTTCAGCATTGAGGGCCAATGTGGCCGCATCCCGTGCGGCTTCTAGTTCCTTGTAATCATCCGTCGACTTCTTCCCGGCCCGCTCGAGATCTTGCAAGGCCTCTTGCCAATGCGCGGAGCGTGCGTTTAAGCGGGATCGCTGTAGAAGGGCGCCCTCAAAGTCTGGCTTGAGTTCTAGAACTCGATCAAAGTCACTTGAGGCTTGTGAGTTTTTGCCAATGGATAGATAAGCCGCACCGCGCTGGAAGATGGTGATATAGTTGGTTGGATCGCGCGAGACGGCGGCATCGAAGTATACCACGGCATCTCGGGGTGAGCCCTGCGCGAGGTGGGCTTTGGCGGAAGAGATCAATTCGGAGAGAGGCGTATCTGGCGATATTTGAAGGGCATATCCAGCCGAGACACAAGCCAGAAAGGCCGTGAATAATTCCAATGAAACGAGCATCTCGGGGGTATGCGACGCAGTAATGCAGTAATGGATATGTAAATGAGGGGTTTGGTGTAGAATCAGTCTCCCTAGGACTACAAGAAGAGGGGCATAATCCAAAGAAGTTAGGCCAAAAGAGAAAAGTACAAAGCGCAATGAACAATGAACAAGAAACTGGAAGTTGGATGAGCATACTCCGTGGCCTTTACGCCTCGTATTGATCCGTTACCGTCATGTGACATGGAATTTATCTCCAATCGCTTTCGCTCCGGATCTTGGTCTTCACACTCTGACTCGAAGTATGCTCGTCAAGTCAATATGTCGAAATATCTTGCGGCCTAGGCTTGGTCTGAAACTGTCTCCCTTGCGAGGTGTACATACCGGTAAGACCGGTCCGGTTATTTTCTGATCAATGCTAAATTGCGACGTAGCATCCGATTATGCCTTGTCTCCAGCTCTTTTAAGCAGAGCACGTCTACTTGCAGATGAACATACAAAGCTTGCGGAGCGATTGGGAGAATCCTTTGATGCGAAAACGGCCAAACGAGCCGGAGAACTGGCACCGGTTGCAAATATCTTGAAAGAATGGGTCCATGCCAACGATGTAAGCGCCTTGGGAAGCTTTGTTGGAGCCCTACTAACTCCGTTAGTCTATCGTCGAGCTCAAATCCCTATTAAACGACCCCGACACTGACTCCGAACTACGGTCTTTGGCAACAGAAGACCTTGAGAGCAGTCGCGATACCTTGCCTACGATATCAGACCGACTGAAGAAGGCTCTCATTCCGCGACATCCATTTGCAGACCTTCCTTGTTTGCTCGAAATCCGACCCGGTGCAGGTGGAGATGAAGCAGGCTTGTTTGCTTTTGAGATGTTACGGATGTACGTTGCCTTTTGCTCCAGAAGGGGCCTCCGCCCAACAATATTGAAGCAGGACACAGAGGTCGGCGCGTCCGACGACCGTCTCATTGAAGCGGTAATTGAAATTGAAGCCAATGGTGCATACGATATATTACGGACTGAATCGGGGGTACATAGGGTGCAGAGAGTCCCCGCAACCGAGACCAAGGGTCGCACCCATACTAGCGCCGTCAGCGTAATGGTCTTGCCGAGTTTCCCAGAGGACGGCAGTGAGATGGATAGTGCCATGAACTTTGAAGACCCCAGCAGCGATTACTATATTGACCCGCAAGAGGTCCGGGTTGAGAAGATGAGGGCTGGAGGTGCTGGTGGGCAACACGTCAACAAAACCGAGTCCGCCATTCGACTGACTCATATCCCTACTCATACGGTTGTCTCCATGCAAGATGAACGATCCCAGCAGGCCAATCGGAGGAAGGCGTGGCAGATGCTACGGGCAAAGCTGGCCGAAGCCCGGCAAGAAGCTCGTGAGCAAGAGCTTATGCAGCTCAGACGAGGTATATTGGGTGGTGTGGCCAAAATGGGTCGAGGTGATAAGATTCGAACTTACAATTTTGGCCAAAGTCGCTGCACCGACCATCGTACAGGTATCACCGTCCACAATCTGGATGGTATTCTTGATGGCGGTGATGGTTTGGATACCGTGATGGACAGTGTGCGGGCTTGGATAGCCGATAGGGAAGTTGAGGCCATGGTTGCCGAGGACATGGCAAACGCAAAGAGTAAATAGCAGAGTTGTTCTTTTGATGTACAGAGATACCATGTATTGATATTCTACAAATACTTTCGCTCCGGATCCAAGATGTCCAGCCCTTCCATAGTCTTCTCATACCTGCCCAGCGGTTAGCAACATTCATAGTACGATTTGGGTTGGTCACGAACATAGTGAACACAATTCCTCCACTCATGATCAATCTCGCAAGCCGTGGCATGGCGCCAGACCACAAAGTGAGGACACCTTCATCCTTGACGATTCTTGTTGCGCAAACAATGCTGTTCTTGTAATGCTTGCTGGCCTCGATTGATTGCATTCTAATATAGTTAGGACCTTATATATACCATTAGCGCGCGTGGGGATGCTAACCTTGTCTTGACCGTATCCAATGGTTGGGTCACATAACTGAGTCATGTTAGCTTGGATGTGTCTTTTTGCCCATCGTCTTTAGAGATCAAGTCCTACACTGTGATGAGCCCTGCAATTCCACCAATTCCAAATGTGGCTGCAGTGCCCAGCTTTTCACCTGGCGCCGTATAGCCCTCTGCAAGCTGCTTCAATGTTGTGTAGGCCGTGAATCGGGTTGCTGAGTTGGCGGCCTGTCTTGCTGTGGTGGGCACAAAGCCTTGGAAGAAACCCTTGACACCTCTTTCTTGGAAAATGAGCTTGCTACCATGCAAAAAACCACGCATCCGAGGTTTGGCAGACTTTCGGTCGTCGATCCTATAATTCGGTCAGTAGAGCTAGCCAGAAATAGGACAGAAAACGTACAATTGAGTCTTGATGCTTTCAAAGGGGGTGACGGCGAAAAGAGACTCGGTGAATCCAGCACCAAATCCAGCAACAACCGTCCTTGGTCCTGAGATTTTGCCGTTCTCATCCTGGAGAACCGATTTTATGGCATCGAAAGCGACGAATCCTAGTATACATCAGCGCTGCCCCAGACAATCGCGGAAGGTAGACGCACGAATTCCGGCCTTGAGCGAGTTTCCGATAATCAGTGTTGTACATCCTGCATACCACTGGCTTCCAAACGGTGGCCATGGTAGCTTTTGGCCGTGGGTAAGCTGGCGATTGAGTTGCGTCCGGGTCTTTGCAACTTCGTAGCATTAGCAAAAATCGTTGGAAGACATTCAAAGGGTCATACATTCGGCCGGGTATGTGATCGCTGCAGTATACGGTTAGCTAGCGGCCTGGTAGGGGTCATTGAGCTCTTTACCGATCTCCACGGCTCCGGCGGTGGACCCCGCAAGGATGGAGCGAAGGGCACTGGGCTAATTATTGGTGAGCTTCAAGTGGACTGTATTATTTGGCTGGAGAACAAACCTTTCCCTTGTGATCCTTATTCACCGTCGCCATTTTCTTTTTGGTGGTTTGGAGGAATTGCGGTCGCCGAACTCGGAGATCCAGCAATATACGGCCCTCGGCACGTGCCATTCCCGCAGTCGATGGATCTATGGAATCAGTGGAATCAGCCAGGGAAGTAGGAGACCAGTTCCTTTACAAAACGCATTCATATGGGAATAATATATACACACGAAGACTGCATCGAGGTCCTACAACTTACTACAGTGGAACAAATTGGAGGGATATTGTCAATTCACTAGCTGATATAAATAGATCCGTTAGACAACTAGTGCTCCTCCATTTTTTTCCTTCTTTTTTTGGTGTTTTTTTTAGAGTGGGAGAGTGGGAGAGTTGTGTGCACCGTGTCTATTGACAACGGCAATCACACAAAGTGAGCGTAGGCAGGAATGAGGTTAAGCATGGTAGAGTGGTGGGAGGACTCCAGGCTGCCAACAAAAGGTTGGTAAAGGGTGAGATCATCACTCGTTGCGTCGGGAAAATAAAAAGGAGCCCATGGGGGAAAAAAGCCACATGAGACGCTTGTCCTGTAGAACGCCCTTGCAAATCCTTGCAAATCCTTCAAGTCCTTGAAACACAGAATACAGCCTCGGAAAACGAAGAGCGTAGGCGCCGAAAATGCATCTTCCTCAAGGATCCAACTCATTGGACAAGGGACCTGAATGGAAAAAGACATATGATACATTGCACTCCCGTATCATTATGACCGGAAAATCAATGCCGGGATAGCCCGACAAGATCTCGAAGATAGAGCGGAATAGAATAAGAGAATCGAGGAAACCAAAGCGCAGCGATATGAAAAGTGTTGTGCAGGCGTGTCCGGGCCTAAGAAAGAGGCGCCTGGGGTTGACCCGGATTTGGTTGACCAAAGGTAATCCGGTTGGCGTCATTTTGTGCCCCACGACGTTGGCCCTGTCCACGACCACGATAAGAACCGCGTCCTCGATTATTGTAGTATTGACCATGCTGTTGACCATGCTGTTGACCCTGTTGTTGACTCTGTGGTTGCCCATTGTTGTTGTTCCGACGAGGTTGACGGTCTCCGTTCATGTTCACGGATCCAGCTCCAGTTTGAGGTGGAGGGTTGGAGATGGGTCGAGGGATGTTCTCAGGAGAATCATAGACATAAAGCTTCTTGTCAATATTCTGCGGGATGGGCTGGATTTCAGTGCCTAGTTCTTGCTCAATCTTGTACAGATTGAACCGATCCTCCCAGTTGATGAGGTTAATGGCGAGACCCAAGTGTCCGAAACGGCCCGAACGGCCGATACGGTGAAGATAAGTCTCCGCGTTCTTCGGGAAATCAAAGTTGATCACAACATTGACCGCTTGAATATCGATACCGCGAGTCAACAGGTCAGAGCAAACCAAGTTGCGGCATACGCCATTGCGGAAGTCATGGAAGACTCGGTTACGGTGCTGCTGAAGCATCCGAGCATGAGAGTAAAAGCACGAATAGCCGAGTTCGGTGATTTTTTTGGCTAGAAGCTCAACTCGGTTGGTTGAGTTGCAGAAAATGATTGACTGGTTGATCTGAAGCTTGGAGAAAAGAGTGTTTAAGCAATGAACCTTTTGCTTCTCCTCAACGAAAGCATAGTACTGGGTGATACCACGCAGGGTAAGTTCGTCCATAAGGTTGATCTCGTAAGGGTTACGCATGTGCTTGTCCTTAAATGACTTGACAATCAAAGGGAAAGTGGCACTGAAGAGCATGACCTGGCGATCCTTGGGATGGAAGGACATAAGTTGCTCAATGACAGGAGTAAATTCAGGAGACAGCAACTTGTCTGCTTCATCCATCACAAATGTCGGGCATTCGCTCAAGTCGGCGACACCTTTGCTAGCCAAATCCAATACTCGTCCGGGGGTTCCCACAAGAATGTGAACAGGGTCATTCAACCGGATAATGTCGTCCATCAAGCCAGTTCCACCGGTGGTGACCATAACATTGATACCAAGGTGTTTGCCTAGGGTCTTGCAGACCTGTGATGTCTGGAGTGCGAGCTCTCGTGTGGGAACCAGAATCAAGGCCTGGGTCTTTGTACTTTTGGGGTTTATGCGCTCGAGAGTTGGAATAACAAAGGCGGCAGTCTTTCCAGTGCCGTTTTTAGCTCGGGCCAAGATATCTCTGCCTGTGAGGGCAACTGGTATTGTCTCTTCTTGGATAGGGGAGGGCTTTTCAAATCCAGCCTCAAAAATGCCCATCATGAGTTCACGTTTGATGTAGAAGTCCTCGAATTCGAGGCCTTTAGTGGCAGTAACATCCTAGTCAAAGTCAGTATTTAGCATTGACTGGCAGTCACAATATATTCACCTCAGTTTGTGGGCGAGTATCTTTGGGGGGGAGATTCAATGTGTCCTGCAGTTTTTGCTCTGAAGTTGCTTCCCTGGTCTAGTCAGATTTGTTTTAGGGACTAAGGAAACAGATCGACCTACAGCTTAGTATTGCTGAGTTGTGCAGCAAGCGCGTCGGCCATTGTGACGATAAGGTGCTAAGGAGGTGGGGAGCAAGTGAGGTGACCGATTTTGTTTGCGATCAAGGTGTGTGAAATGGTTGCGCGGAAGTTAGAATAGGAATGTTTTGGCAGAGGTTCGAGGTAACGGAAACGGGAGGGGAGAAGAGAGATATTCGTCGAAACCAATAAGGTCGGGTTGGAGGAAATGGGAGATCAGGTATTCAATGATATGAAGCTTCTGTGTGGAACCAAGAAAGATCTTTGATGCCAAAGCTGGGGGAGTTCACAGATAGAATAAAGAATGGTATAAACCAGCTCTGTTGACAAATAGGGGAAAAAAGGTACGAAGGTAGGAGATGTTGAGATTATGATGGCGGGGAGCGAAGAGGTTTGAGGTAAAGAGTGAAGCTAAACGTTCCTCTGGTTATGGTCACGTGTCACTCGACTACAACTACGATTTTATTCATGACACAAGGTGTGGAACTAATTTAAAATATGGCAAGAACATGGCATTTCCTAAGGGTATTTCGCTGCAAATAAGATTAACCGAGAATTGACGAGTTCAGCGCCGGAAGGTTAGTGTCGTCTGGCCACGCTCTGGCTCTGCCAACTCCTTCACTCTGACATCCGCAGAGATGGTGATATCGGTCTTGCTACCAGGCGTGATCAGAATGAACTGTCGTCCGATAGATCGTCTAGCGGCAACCATCTAGAACATTCGTCAGTCAGTAAAGAGCCCTAGGAAAGAGAAGTGACACTTACAAGCATGTCAATCGCCATCTTTCGGTTAATATGATCCATGTACACATCACTTTCGAAGTCAGCATGAAGACCCAAACCATACCATGAACAAAACTTACAATTCATCAAGACAACGTATTGGAGATCCCATGGCTTCCCAGAGAGACAACAACAGACAGACTTGTGAGAAAGATTTTTCTCCACCAGATAGTGTCTTTGCATCTCTCCCGGTGCTATCATCTTTGGTGATATCAGGTTCAACCTAGACAGTAGTCAGCATTGATCGGTCTATTCTGGGGTTCTGGTGAACAGGCTTACGTGTAGATCCAGAAGTTTGTTGGCATGGTCGGCCAGAAGCCGACCACGGAAACTTCTCTCACTCAAGAGATAGGTGAATTGGGCTTTGGCTCGAGACGAGATGTGCGCCCTGAAGATTTCCCATCTCTTCTTACG